TGTTGCTTGATATCCCCGGTGTGGCTGCGCTTGATGTGCATGTTGACAAGGTGCCTACCTGTCTATTACCCACTACCTCGTCCATACTGGCTCCAGCAGACAGTTGGTCGTTGTTGGAGGGGACGGGGTGCACGGTCCTTGTGGCGGTGCTTGGCTCGAAGAGCGGTTACATCAACTCAGTGTGGAGCGAACTACATTCCAGCCACCGCCTTGTGTGCGCTTGATTCCTCAAATACAGCGTTCTTGTGTTTGCATGTGAAGGAGTATGGGCCGGTTCCGTTGATAAAACGTGGCTCCTATCCACATGGCTCCCGGTCTTATTCCTTCGGGTTTACACTGGATATGGTGTGTGGTTGGAGCTGTGTGGCGCAGGCGTCCTGTGGTTGGCCACAGTGACAGGCAAATCCGAAACCGGATGCCGCCAACAATATATATTCAACACGGCCAATAGTACAATTGGCATAGTGCCACAACGTATGGAATATACAATAAACATACGAATATAAAGGGAAAAAGCCGATTTTCTTGCGAATAGAGAGTCGCAAGAAGTCCGCCGTTGTGCACAATTTCTTGCCATATCCGAGAGCGTTTCCAGCCATGTGTGTTCCGGATCCTTCACACTCCAGCTAGCGAACCCAGAGGCCCCGACCACGGCTCGCTTTGACGTTATCTCCTTCATACTGCTCGCCCAAGTCATACGTTGGACACTTTGCTTTCGCTTCCAGCCAACGTCTGAGTGCACGAAGATGGTACGGCGAGGTAAGCGATGAATTGGTATGCGGAGAACGTGCCCAAGACACTGAAGTCTGCGCAGAGAAATTATACTTCTCAGTGACCGTCAAAGTCTGTCTGATCTGAAAATCCTTCATCGAATATTTTCCTTCCTAGTGTTATGTAGCCATCGTACGCCAGCAGTGCTCCGAAGGCAGTGGTGATTAAATCAGACAGATTCTCAACATCCTTTGCACGTACAGGTCAAGTCTCGCAGCCATAGACGAGAACCACTCTTACTGTGGCATTGTAAACTCGGTACTTCAGAGCCAGAGATGGCGGAGATTGACAAAAGCAACCCGAGCCTTGGAGACGCGCAAAGATACCTCATCCGTTAAACCATTAGCGCTGAGGCAGCTTCCGAGGTAAACGAACTTGTCCACCACTTCCAATGATTTATCTAGAAGGGTAAGGTTAGGAGCAGCGACTAGCTATTCCCTCCGGAAAACCTTGCATTTCGATGGTGCGAAGGTCATTCCAAACGGGGAGACAGACATCTCCAACCTACACAGAATATTTGGGCGGTCTGTGAAGAAGCGCAGATTACCGTGGTCTCGTCTGCATACTCCATATCCCGAAGTCGGTCTCCCGGAAGCAGATCGACGGCGATGGGTTCGCAGTTCTCAGAGCACTCTCCAAGATTTCGTCTATAGCGAAATTGAACAAGAAGGGGGATGCTGGGCAACCCTGTCTTACGCCACTGATGATACAAAAAGGGGGCGAAACTCCGCCGTATACCCCCACTCAGCCTGAAGTTTGAGAGTAGATGGCTTGAAGTAAGGTGACATACTTCTCGCGCACTCCCCTTCTCAGTAGACAACTCCAGAGAGCAGCTCTCTCAACTGAGTCAAAGGCGACTCGTATGTCTAAGAAGACAACGATCATTGGCTGGCCAAATTTTTGACAAACAGGTATGGTCGGTAGTTGTATAAAAATATAACAAGTCAGGTAGCAACATATTGGATTTGTGGGTCTGTATATATGTAAGTGTAGTAGTATTTGGCATGGGGAGTGAACTTTTGTAGTGCGACTGAATTCGTGAGTTTGTTTGCTGTGTTCGCTATCGTATGAAGGGAGCAATGGAACTCTTCGAACTGGATGATGTTCGTGAAGTGGGGATCCTCCGGATGGGGGAAAGGCAGTGACTTTATTTAGTGGCGAGTCACATCCGCCACCTCGCAGTGTTGTTAAACGCAGAGAACGCTTGCCAGACGAAATCCCACCATGTCCTGGAACACTGCCGCCGAACTACCCAGCTGGCACCACGTGGAGGTTGTTCGGCTAGCCAGCAGCAGCAGCAAGAAACTGTCCCGACAGACTGGAGCCGCCCCGTCAAAATCCCAGTTTTCAAGGGGGCTCCCGTTCGGAATGCAGGAACCATAGAGGGATCAGTCTGATCTCAATTGCCTCCAAATTACTTGCCTCTGTCATTCTCCACAGACTGACTGGCGCTCGTGAAGGCCAGGTCCGCGAAGTGCAATTGTTGGAACACCGCCATGTTTATTGGCGACCCATCGTTGTCGTGTTTCTCGATATCAAAGGTGCCTTCGATTCGGTGGATCGATATGCCCTTTGGGACTGTCTGCTGAGAAAAGGTGTGCCCGATAAATATGTAAACATTATCAAAGCGCTGTACGCACATAGTTCGGGCAGAGTGAGGGTTTATGACAAACTGTCGCTACTCTTCAATATCCCCAGCGGTGTGAGACAAGGATGCCCGCTGTCACCTTTCCTCTTTAACTTCACTATTGATGAAGTTATGGAAACAGCGTTCGCTGGACACAACCTAGAAGGTGTGGAGCTACTTCCTGATGAACGCCTTCTTGACGTGGAGTATATGACAGCGCCCAAACGTGCCAGACTGCACTGGACCGATTGGCACTGGCTGTCAGTCGTTTTGGACTATGCTTTGCTCCATCAAAATGCAAAATACTTCTCTAAGCTTGGCAGGGACCCACTCCTGTGCTAACGCTTGGTGGTGATCAGCTAGAAGTCGTTCAGGAATTCAAGTACCTGGGCAGCTATGTTTGCCCCCGTGGGATCGGAAATGAGGTTACGAACCGGATAGCAAAAGCTCGAGGTGCTTTTGCCAATCTCCGCTACCTGTGGCGCAGACGCAACATCACTCTCGTCCTGAAGTGCAGAGTTTATAACGCAGCCGTCCGTTCAACTCTCCTATATGGTTATGAAACCTGGCCCATCAGGTCGACAGACATTAACTGGCTAGCCATGTTCGATCATCGCTGCCTTCGCAGCTTAGCTCATGTCTGGTGGGAGCACCGTGTGAGCATTGAACGTGTTTGCTGCAAGAATAGCTAGTGAACCACTCATCACCATTATATCACGCACCAGCATTCGATGGCTGGACCACGTGTTGCGCATGCCAGCACACCGACTCCAGCAACGTACATTGTTTGCGCGCCGGGGATGCGGTTGGAAGAGGAGGAGGAGGAGGGGAGACCAGGTGATGACTTACTCGAGAGAAAGGCAGGCCCTCACTTCGAATTCGTCCTCAGTTGGTACATCCTGACTGTCTAGCTAGGATCCTAAGGACGATGAACACGTTTGGTTAGAGACACTTTCTGATATGGCTTGGAGCCGTCCTCAGTGATGTTTGTGTTATGAGTTCCTTTGTCCACCCTCTCCTCCCTTGCCTCCCCCTCCAAACACGATCTCATTCGTTAGGCGTCATATAACTCTCTTTTTGCGGCACGATAGCGGGCTGTTTGCTCTCCGGGGCGATGCCATCCGTTACTGGGGACTCAGCCGGCGGGCCTCTGTTATTTTTTTCTTGTCTTTTGTATTGCGGCACAGTAGTTGTGGTGTTTCCCACTTGCAGCTAACGTATATAATGATGATGATGGTAGGGAGTATAGCATGCAAATTTGAATGATAGTAAAACATCTCAATTTGACTACCTCTATTTACTGATCACTGTTTTTTCATTGCTTGAATGTTCCCCATGTAAACCTTATACCTTCAGACCTCTGTGTGTTATGGCCACTTCGCACTCGTCCCGTGAGTCTTCACTTTACAGAGGTCTTACTGCTTGTCAAATCAATCTTCAGTTAAAGAGATTACGGATGAACTAAGTTGCGTTTACCGGACCATACTTCTACAATACATGTATGCAGGAATAACCTTTTTCCTAAATCTTATCATCCGTATCCATCGTTCCGCTTTTCAGTGACTGGCATTCTCTACGTAAGCCTAGGCTTATTGCGTGGTACTATTTCCCATTTACAGAAATGTTTCCCTGCTGTCAGTATTGTAGCAAAGTTCTTTTACGGAAATGGTTTTCGTGGGTAATACTGTAAAATAAATTAGGATCTAACTACTATCCACATCTTGTTTGTGTTCAGGCTAGCCTTGTTTCCAACTCCGCACTATCGAGTGGATCGTCAACAAACAATCGTTCTAGTCTTTACCGATTAACAACTATAGATATAATTGATATAAACATCACATGTTTCTTATAGTTTCAAGCGCCACTTTCGAACCTTGTGTTATAAAGGTGACTCATGTAGCATTCCAACAAGATGATCTGTAACATTCATTGACTGACTATAATGACGTGACCATCAAACCAGGTCCTCAGTCGCATCTTACCCTTTATCCCAGTTATCACCGGTGCTGTTTTGTCCCCAGTGGGTCTATCGGTTAAATTTTCAATTTCATCTTCCATACCTGGGTGCTGTGCAAATCTCATGTCTGAGTGTTGCACGCTTGCGTCCTGGATTTGCAAGTGAGCGTGTTTCTTGAACAGAGCAACCAATATCAAATGAACAGCCGTTTTACAGGCTGTCTTTGCCATGCATCTTTTTGTTGTCCTTTCATTCATATGCGTATCATTTGTAAAGCAGATTTTCATTGGTATTCTTAGATTTCCCTTTACCGTAAAACCAGGGCTGATTTTCAATTTATCCTACCTTTATTACCTGCTTGTTCTTTTACCGATGTCTGAGAGTGACGAAAATTTGTTGGCAATTGTACGCACAACCACTTCTGCTGCTCGCAATGTGCTCAGTCCATCGGATGTTACTCGAAAACCACAGGCGACTGCCTAAGTACCACTACAATTGCTATGCTTATGCGCTATTATTTGACCGACTGGCTCTTGATGTGTGAATTCTCATCCTCACACATCACTGGTCTTGTGTTTTTCCCCACTACCCTTGCTTCACGCATCTCACTCTCTCTCTCTCGCCTCATTATTCTGCTCACTTCAGCTTGACAGGCCTATGGAGCACTGGCTGTTTGAAGATCTGGATAAGACGAATCAAGTCGGTGGGGTTCACAAAGTACTTAAATCCCCGCGGGGTGATCTATGGTACGCGACGATTCGTGGCGCGGGCCACATGGTGCCTCGGGACCAGCCAGTGGCTATGTACCACTTGATCACAAGTTTCATCAGCGGAAAAGAACTTTAACTAGATTTTCTTCGATTTGTATTTTCATCCTTCCGTTGATTACCATCTATCGCGGTGTTTTTTACCCTATTTTCCTCGCTATTTTTGCTAGATTACTGTTTCATTCGTTACTCTGATCGACTTTTTAATTCCTACCGGTTATGAATTTTATCAATCTTTGCACACTGCCGGTTATCTTGCGGAGTTCGATTTCTTTTACGTTGTACGCTGTAGATGTTTCAGATGCTATTGTTACAGTCTTTTAGACCGTATGGTGGTCACAAATCATTGCTTTTCACGTATCCCATTAGCGCATGGCAACATAGTACACGTTAACAGGAGATGAGCAATAGTTAAAAATGTGCCGCAGTATATTGCAACAAGATATCCCAAACAAAGAAATATAAACTAACAAATAGTAAAAAGCACTGGACTTACGGAAGTAATATCATGCATTTTAATTATTATGCATAGACACTAAGGTCGTGGTTGGATAGGGAAGCTAAGCGGGATGAGGAGGGACAAATAAACTCAAAGTACACGCCACTGAAGTCGGATCTTTGCCATGTCTACAAGCGTATCCATCCACAGGAAGTCAAGAGCTTCCAATCGAGGCCAACTTCGAAGTAAGAGCCTTCATTCCTCTTGATCTCTTAATCAGTTGGTCTCCCCCTTCCTTTTCCAACCGCATCCCCGGCGCGCAAACAATGCACCTCGCTGGAGTCGGTGTGCTGCCATGCGCAACACCTGGCCCAGCCATCTGAGCCTGGCGCCTTAGATAACGGTGCTGAACGGTTCACTCACTCTTCCTGCACCAAGTATCGGTCGCCGAATTCAGTCATTTATCATGCTGTGTTCCCACCAGACATGAGCTATGCTGCGAAGCAACGATGGTCGAACGTAGGAAGCCTCTTTATGTCTATCGCACTCTATGCCAGGTTCCGCAACCGTATGTTGAGATTGTAAGAATGGCTGCATTGTAGTTTTTACCCTTCAGGGCGAGAGCGATGTCGCACTAGCACACTAAGTTACAGTGGTCGTCCCGAGCACCTCAGTTCTTTGTTGTACTGTTCGTGATCTGATTTTTGATTCCATAGCGCTGATACTGCTGCTAAGATAGTTGAGTTTCTAGACAACTTCTGGTTGATCCCCAATAATGGTCAGTCCAGGGGCTGTTTCCTGCCAATCTTGGGGGAATGCTTCGCATATTGACAGTGCAAAGCGAAGGCCAGAACGACTGACTTCCAATGCTAATTTGTTTAATGTTGCTTGGCATACTCCAAGTCAATAAGTTGATCATCTGGGAGTAGCTCGTGTCCAGTGTACGCAACTTTCATGACTTTGTCAGCAGCGAAGTTAAAAAGAGGAAGGTGACGACAGACAACCTTCCACCACTGGCTTTGTTTGAGGCTGGAGACAACTATTAACCCTCACTATATCTGAACTACGCGTTCTGACAATGTGTATGTATTTCTGAGGCATGCCTCTCACCTCGATCCATCTGAATACAAGACGTCCTTGATGCCAAAGAACACGACCACGGATGCGGTCTTAGTGATCGAAGTGGCATAGGTTTGTTTCAAAACTAACAGTGGCCCTTCTCGAGATTGCATGCAAGCATACGGCGGGTACTCCAAGGTCCAATAACGACCACGGTGGTTCGCTAATTTATCCAGCGCTGGTAAAATAACTCGTACAAAATAAAGATATGCTCAGTACAACCTGGATTTCGAAGAAACTCGACTTGCTACTCGCGAATCAGGCTCTCACGAATGCCGGTCAGTCTATGAAGAAGGGCAGTGGTGGATAATTTGGGACGCGCGAAATCGGTGGGTTACATGTATGATTATCGCATTCCGAACGGGAATTCCCTCGGAAAGCGGCACTATGGCAGTTGAACTGTTCGCTGAGCGTGGCAGTTTGGTTACAAACGTTTCGTCACCAATCGTGCTGACATCATCAGTGCATAGTAACGTAGCGTGGAGCAGCTCCAATCGGCTGTGACAGCTTCTTACAGTTTCCCTCGTAATTAGTAAAATCTTTCGCATGAGCTTGTCCTTCGAATTTGAATACGGTTGGATTAACCGCATCAGGTCTTGTGGCATTATTCAACTTCAGCACTCTGATCTCACGTTGGACTTCTGCACAAGTGAGGGGATCCAAGGGGGCGATCGATGGAACAGAGTGGTCACTGGTCGGCAGAGAATCTGGTAGTTCCAACCGGGAGAATTACTTTTCAAGGCGTTCGGCCCAACGCTTCAGTCACTTTCTGCTTGTGAATAGGCTGCTCAATTTCGTCGCAAATAGTTTCACTTATACCATGTCTCTTGCTGCCAGTTTTCCGTATCAAACAGTAACTTGACGGTTATCAAATGCTACGGCTGTTTACATTTTTGATGCACGACTAGACCGCCAGGTTACACGTTCACGAACTTTTATCCTCAGCTCTTTACGGGTCTCGTATTCGCTCCTAACCGTTGTGTCGGGGAGTTTCCAATAGTTCTATACCGCTTAAGTACCAGGGCCCTAGATGTCAATGGGATTTCTCGAGGTCGCACAACCATTCCCTTCTTGAAGTACCGCACTACATGTATAAACAAATAAATGGTTTATTCTCGATTTCATCGACGTCGCCTGAAAGGAATTCATCACCTAGATGACCGGACGAGTGGCAAATGCGTCGGTGACCAAAGTCTATCGTCCAAAGCAAGCGTAGTCCCTTCTTAGGAGTCGGACACAACAATGTATGGCTCTAAGGGGTTCGGTGTGGTGCGCTTATAAATCCTATCTGGAACTTAACGACAAAATCCAGCACTGCTCCTGAGTTGATCTACAGACACGTAAACAAATTCCGGGGAATGCAGCGCGCAGTAGATAGTCTGGCGCTCACTACACAACATGCGGTGAACGCACTTAGGCTACAGTTTCCCTGCACTTCCCAAAATGAGTCGTCATCTCGCCCGTTCTTGACACAGTTCACCGCCCCCAGGGTCAACCCATTTATACTTCACCGCCGCAAATATGATGAATTGGCTACTGGAATGCACGACTCTCTTGGTGTGGACAAGATAAGACCGGATGTATTAAAATCAGTCATCTTGAACCTCGCCGAGCCGTAGGCCGATTCATTCAACGAAGCCTTAAGAAAATCAGGTTGCCACAATGTTGGAATACGTATAGTCACTCCTATTTACAATAGTGGAAATCGTGCGGAACCTTATATATAATAAATAAATCAACTTGTTCTCCACGGTGCGAGGCACGTTTGTAACGGCATGATCGGGCAAGTGCATACTTTATTGTCCTTTAATCATAAGTGGATCAGAGAAATTGCATGTCAGCTCAGAGATAATAAATGGTTGATTGAATTGAAGTGATGTTGGCTAGCCTTTAACTGTATTCTCACAAACGAAACAGCTTAACCACAGGGATGAGTATGGTGATGAAACATGTACGTGGTCATATGGAACCTAGACCTTGCTCGTACGCTCGGCTTGTTGGTATGGAACAATTGAACAGTTTAACCACGTTCTGTACAGACAAGAATTTGTTGATAATCTTTCGAAATTCGTGTTCAAGAGTGCAGACACATATTCCGGGTGATTCCAGACTTTGGCGTTTCAGTTCAAAACAATTAGCAGACTTGTTGGTAATGAGCTTGCATTCCGCCACTGAGTTCTGTGTATTTCGTGTTATAGGCTACTGATTGCATCAGTGTCATGTTGAGGTCGGAAGTGTGGATATTACTGTGCAGGATGTCCTAAAACGACTAGGTTGTGCACCGTAACCAGAGCAGTTCAAGTCTGAGCTTACGATATCGTCCAGAGTATTCCAGTTTTGAATGAGCACATAGCAGGTAAGGGGAGGGTCATTTGAAGTACCCGTTGTGTGAATGATTGCGATGCGCTATACTTATTGAAGTGAACCTTGGTCAGTGCGATCACTAGGACTGCGCGTCGCAATCTGTTCACATAACGAGCGTATCAAATGACCCTCCAATCACTCGTTAACCGTTGGGCCAGTCGTTGCCCGCAGTGACCGGGTAGCCAGTGGGGTCGAAGTTTCGGCTACTATTCCAATGGTCTTGGATTCAGGGCCTGTTATCTCCACCTGTTGGGATCAAACAAGGCCGAAACGCATCGTGATGTGCAGTGTTTCCGGGTGGGCGACACCCAGTTTCCATTTACCTATGCGGCGCTTTGTGAATGCTCTCCGTACTTGTTCCACTACAACGCAGTCGCGATCTTTTGATATGCTATATACCATTGAACTATATTCCAATGTACGTGGAACTGCTGGTATGTAAGAATGCAATAATGATTTATGTTGGAAAAATAGTCTTGAATACCAATCCAATGTTCTGTCTTGCTTTCGAGGTCTCATACCATAGTTGTTCACATAAGTCATCTTAGCAAGAGAGCAGTTAAGTGGCTTGTCATCAGGAGTCAGGCTGCTGTGAGTTAAATCACACTTGTAGGGCATTGCATTTGCTATTAGAGTAAGAGATTTGTATCTTTAAGCCAATGGTTTCAAGCGCATGGAGGAATCCGGATGGAAGGTGTATACCAGTTTTATCTCATCTGCAGTGAACTGTGTATCTAATTTTACTGTGTCGAAGATATTCTTAATAGGTATTAAGAACAGTAACGGTTCAAGGACTCTTGTACCACATCACTAGTGACAGATGTAGGCTCGGGCTTGTATTATTGGATTCGTACTACCTACGTTCGATTTGTGAAGCATGATCTAAAACAAGATTGCAGGGGTTCACCAATACCGTAGGATCTCATTTTAGCTATTAATTTTTCATGAGACACCAGTTCAAAGACGTTGTGCATGTCGAAGTGAATTAGAGTTGCCGATTACTAGCATCAAGCGAGGCAGTTACATGGTTTAGTAATTCCAGATGGCGTTTATTCAAGAAGCCGCGCTGAGAGTTGTTTTATTTTAATTTTCTTGACGGTAGGAATTTAACGGTTTTAGCTTTGATAAGTCGCTCCATAATTGTTAATAAGACAGATATGTGGCTTATTTGGCGATAACTTTTAATCTCGAGCAGGGAGCCTGGTTTATGTCGCGGCACAACTGTGAATTCCTAATTCACCGATGTAACTGATACTGTACAACCCTGATTCGTTTGTGTAACTGTACTACGACCTATTTGCAAGTAGTACATTTTTTCTTCACATCATTAACCACGATGATTGGACAGATTACTACCATTGATCACATTCGGAATCCGAATTAATTGTACTGCCTATCTTACATTTTCCTCTTAGTCTTT